CTCAATCCATAGTGAAGACTGTAGTCCTTGACCTTCTGTAGCAAGCACGTCAGGTCCTCTTCAATTTCAGCAAGCAGGGTTGTGTCGTCTGCATAACGCAGATTGTTCATGAGTCTTCCTTCAATCCTAATGCTACACTTCTCCTCATAGAGTCCAGCCTCCTGGAAAATCTGTTCCACATATAGATTAAAAAGGTATGGAAACAGGACACATCCTTGATGCACACCCTTCCCAATTTTGAACCATGTGGTGTTTCTTTGCTCTGTTCTGACAACTGCCTCCTGGTCCAAGCACAGGTTTCTCATAAGTAAAATCAAGTGTTCTGAGATTCCCATTTTTCTCAGAGTTATCCACTGTTTGTTGTGACACACACAGTTAAATGTCTTTGCATAGTCAATGAAACATAGATAGAAATTCCTCTGAAGTTCTCTGCTTTCAGCCAAGATCCACCTGACATTAGCAATAATATTCCAAGTACAACAGCCTCTTCTAAACCTAGCCTGCACTTCAGGCAGTTCTCTATTGATTTAAATAATACCACAACAAGCAAGGGAAAAATTAAAGTCATCAAATATTTTATTTTAATTGGGTCTGTAATCAATACCTATGGGAGCTGTAGTCTAGAAATCAATTTACATTGGGCAAATCTGGTAAGTGCTAAAGAAAATGCCACCTCTTTAAAGTGTTAAAGAGCAAAGGTGTTAGTCTAAAGACTGGGATGTGCCTGACCCAAACCATGTTATTTTAAATGTTTTCACCTGCTTATAAAAGTTGGACAGTAAATAAGGAAGACTGAGGAGTAATTAATGCATTTGAATTGTGGTGTTGGTGAAGAGTATTGAATATGCGGTAGAGTGTCAAAAGAATAAACAAATCTGTCTTGGAAGAACTGCAGCCAGAATGCTCATTATTGGCAAGGATGGTGAAACTCCATCTCACATGCTTTGAGCATGTTATCATGATGGATCAGCCTCCAGTTTGTTGTTGTTGATTGCCTCCAAGTCTATCACGACACATAGCAACCCTATGAACAAAAGGCGTGAAGCCCCTCTACAACTCTTGACATTTATCAAAGTTCATAGAGTTCCCAGAGGCATGTTGTTTAGGAAGTGGATGCCACTCCTAGAGAAGGGCATAATGCTTGGTAGAGTAGAGATTCCATTAAAAAGAAGACAACGTCCAACAAGATGGATTGGCATGGTGGGTTGCAATAATGGGCTTAAATAGAGCAGAGAATATGGCAATGGTGTAGGGCCAGCCAAGATTTCCTTCTGTTTTACACAGATTGTCATGACTCAGGGTCAACTCAAGGGCACCAAACAGCAGCAACAGCATGTACACATAACCTCATCTGCTTCTCCGAATTATTTACTGGGAGTTTTCTGTCCTAAGGCAACTTTCGTGTTGCTGTGATGCTGGAAGCTACTCCACTGATATTTCAAATACCAGCAGGGTCACCCATAGTGGACAGGTTTTCAGAAGAGCTTCCAAACTAAGACACACTAGGAAGCAAGAATAGCCACCCACTTCTGAAATAATGATCCCTTGAAGACTCTAGCACCATCAACAGCATGTTGTTGTTGTTGTTGTTATTGTTGTTATGTGTCATCGAGTTGCTTGCGACTCATAGCAACCCTATGTACAACAGCCCTAAACTCTGCTCTATCCTGTGTCAATCGCACTGTCTCCGACACACCCATCCCGATTACCCCAGTCACTGAATCAATCCACCTCATAGAGGGTATTCCCCTCCTGCGCTGTCCCTCCACCCTCCCAAGCATGATGTCCCTCTCCAAGGACCGGTCCCTCCTTACAACATGTCCAAAGTATGTCAGATGAAGCCCTAGTATACTTGCCTCCAAGGAGCAGCCTGGCTTAATCCTCTCCAGGATGAATCTGTTTGTTTTCTTGGCAGTCCATGGTACATTCAATACTCTTCTCCAGCACCACAGCTCAAAGGCATCGATTCTCCTTCTATCCTTCCTAGTCATTGTCTAACTCTCTGATGCATAAAGGGTGATTGCAAAGACCATGGCCTGTAACAAACGCACCTTAGTCTCCAGAGTGACACCATTGCTCTTCAGTACCCTGGAGAGGTCCCTAACAGCAGACTTTCCCATTGCAATATGTTTTTTTATTTCCTGGCTACTGGTGCCAAGAGTGTTGACCATGGAGCCAAGCAGACTAAAGTTCATCAACAGCATATTTTCTGATAATAGTTTTGGATGGTGAGGATTTCAAATTGGAAGATCATCAGAAAAATACATCAGAGAAAGAGCCACTTCATCAAAGTGAAGTCTTAATGACGTGGATGATACCATGCTTTTCAGCCCGTGAAGACCTTCACTTGCAGATGTGATATGACTCAAAATGAAGTGACACAATTTCAAAGAGCCATGAATCCAGGGAAATTGAAAGTTGTAAAAAATGGAATATAAAGAATGAGCATTGATGTCCTAGGTATCCACCAAATGAAATGGACTGATATTGACCATGCAACTGTACATTGGATCACTAAGGGTCAGAGTTCATTAAACAGCACCTACCAACTCGTTGAAAGAGAAACAAACAAAACCCATTCATTTAAGTCAGGGCTTCACACAACACGTCTGTACTGAGGTTTCTCCTCTTTCTCCTCCACCCGGCGGAGTGTTTCCTTTATGTTGTTGTTGTTGTTGTGTGCCATTGAGTTTCCTGCGACTCATAGCAACCCCATGTACAACAGCTCTGAACCCTGCCCTATCCTGTGTCAATCTTATTTTCTCTGACACACCTATCCCCATTACCCCAGTCACTGAATCAATCCATCTCATCAAGGGTCTTCCTCTCTTGTGCTAACCCTCCATCCTCCCAAGCATGATGTCCCTCTTAAAGATCACTCTTTGCATCATGTCTAAAGTATGTCAGACGAAGTGTCAGAATCCCTACCTCCAAGGAGCAGCTTGGTTTCACTCTCTCTAGGTCGAACCTGCTTGTTCTCCTTGCAGTCCATTCAATACTCTTCTCCAGCACCACCACTCAAAAGCATCAATTATTCTTCTAGAATCCCTAATCTTTGTCTAGCTTTCTGACTCATAAAAGCAGTTGTGAAGACAATGGCCTGAATCAGGTGCACCTTAGTCTCTAGATTGACACTGTTGCTCTTCGGTACTCTGGAGAGGTCCTTGACAACAGGTTTCCTAGTGCAATTTATCTTTTGATTTCCTGGCTGCTGGTACCAAGAGTGTTAATTGTAGAGCCAAGCAAACTAAAGCTGTTAACTAACAATCTCAATCTATTCACCGTCTATCACGATGCTGACAATTGGCCCAGTGTTGAGAATCTTTGTTTTCTTGATGTTGTGCTTCAATCAATATTGAAAGCTGCAGTCTTTGAACCTCTGCATGCAGCAAGCGCTTCAGGTCCTCCTCAGTTTCTGCACATAAGGTTGTGTCATCTGCATAACGCAAATTGTTGAGTCTTCCTCCAATGGTGACGTCACGCTTCTCCTCATAGAGCCCAGCCTCCTGGATGATCTGTTCTGCACACAGATAGAAAACAATGGAGATAGAACACATCTCTGGCATACACCTTTCCAGATTTTGAATCGTACAGTGTTTCCTCATTCCAGGATTGACATTATCCAGGTGGAAGAGACTGGATGGGCCAGAGACCAGATAACTCATTGTCATCAAGCCAGAGTTAACCATAGTTGAGCTCCAGTGGGTTTTCAGAGGCTGTAAATCATGTAAGAGGTGATTGCTCATCTTTTCCCCTTCAAGTTGCTGGTGGATTTGAACTGTCAGAGAGGCTCTGTCTTTGGGTTAGCAGCACAACTCCCTACAAACTACGCTATAAGAGCTCTCTAGAGACAAGATGTTGTTGTGCTGTAGAGTCAGAACCGACTCATAGCTGATCCTTTGTAGGTTTTCAAAGGCTGCACATTGCACAGGGGAGATTATCCTGTGGAACAAATGGTGGACACTCATTGCCTGCATTTGTGTTGACAGTGTACTTCCTTTCCACTAGGCAACCAGAGCTCCCTAGAGACCAGATAGGAAGCCTAGATTTTCTTTTTACTTGTGCATGCATCAAAGAGCTGGACAGTGACTAGGGATGATAGAAGGAGAATTGATGCCTTTGAGCTGTGGTGCTGGAGAAGAGTATTGAATGTACCCTGGACTACCAGGAGAACAAACAGTTTCTTCCTGGAGAAGGTGAAATCAGGCTGCTCCTTGGAGACAAGGATTCTGAAGCTCCATCTAACTTAGTTTGGGCATGTTGCAAGGAGTGACCAGTCCTTGGAGAGGGACATCTTTCTTGGGAGGTGAGGGGACAGAACAATAGAGGAAGACCCTCGATGAGATGGATTGACTCAGTGGCTGGGGTAATAGGAATTAAGTGTGGCAGAGACAGTAAGATTGGCTCAGGATAAAACAGGGTACACAGAGCTGCTGTACACAGGGTTGCTGTAAATTGCAAGTGACTCGATGGCACATAACAACAACAACAATCAGTGTGATAGTTTGAACCTCTCAGAACTTACTTGATGTCTCAATGCAGGATCTTATCCAAGCATGCAGCCTGTTTCTGTGTAATATTCTACAAGGAAATTTTGTGTGAAATATGTTTTCACATTGCATCTTCTTGAAAGGCTTTGAAAAGAGCATAAGGAAATAACTGAATTGGTTGGTACTTGTTTCCTGTCCCTGTTCTCATTTGCTCTTTTAAAGCACATTGTGCAATCATGTGGAAAGGTGTTCCGTGCTCAACTCTATCCTTTCAGAAAGCAAACAAGCAGGTCAGCAACCCCAGTGTTGTAATGTTAGGTCCTGAAATCTGTATGAGTAACCGGCAGCGTCATTTGACCTTTGAGAATAGGGCAAGCAGCCAATGGCAACAGGAATTCAAACAGGCTTCCTAGTACTGAGACAGAGAGAGGAGAAGAGGGCAGAGGACAAAAGGGGCTGGAGAAGGCTCTCGATGAGACCATCCTTCAGCAACTAGTGGGAAGACAGACCATGAAACTAATCACCATCCTTTTTCTCTGCTCCAGGCTGATCCCCAGTTGGACCCTGGAAACTGTATCGGAGCAAATTGACTGCAACAATGAGGATGTGTTTAAAGTTGTGGATACTGCTCTGAAGAAATATAATGATCAAAGCCAGAGTGGCAATCAGTTTGTATTGTACCTCATCAGCCAGGTTATCAAGATGGTGAGTGAGCTGCACTTGACCTTGAGCTCATTTGGGATTTGTGTTGTTGCGTGGAGTGCAGCCCTTTGCTTTCCCCCACTCATCCACTCACAAGACCTTATAATCAAAGGGAGATGCTTGCACCTTGGGGGAAAAAAGATCAACTGATCTGGTCTGAGAGGGCAGTGCTTTGACCAGTCCTGGGACCACTGAGGCTGCTGACCTGGGGGGTTAGAAAGGAAGTCTCCTCAGGTGACAGGAAACAAAGAAAAAGACTGAATGGAACAAAAGATCCAGGAACTCTGGCAGCAACAGCAAAAGAATTTACTAAGCCTGAGACTGAGCCTGTAGACCTCAGATGGGTAGGGGCTCCTTAGGACCTAAGAGGACTCGCTTAGAAATGAAATTAGTGCAGTTTAATGGTAGTTTAATGCATCACATGTAACAGCAATGCTTATGTTTGTTTGTTTTCAGTATCTTTTAGCACTGCAGTGATGTATATGCAATAATCCTAGCAGGATATGAAGTGCAAAAGAAATACCAATCTTTCTAGTGTTTGTTTACATAAGTTTCACTTATGAAAGATTATGTGTCTGGGATAGTAAAACCATTGGTTATTTCAGTAGTGATAAATCCAATCATTTAGCATCAAGAAAATAAAGGAAAAAGTGGTTATGTTTTAAAATTTTTTAAAAGTAAAATCAGTCATTTTGAGTTTGTTTCATAATGTAGTGTGTGAGTACCTAAATTCCTTCATTCTCTGCAGGACTAAAATGACCCTTTGGCCTCCCCGAGGCTCTAATGTGATAGTGTGTTAATTTTGTCTTTATTTCTTCCTATTTGTGGCAAATGCCACTTTTGTTTTTTCTAAAATGTCCACATAAGTACTTCTTCATCCTTACTTCTCCCTGAGGGTACCCCTATCTACTGTTTATAGCCCTTAAAGATAAAAATCTGAGACCTGAAAAGATCCTTAAAGAAGACTTGTTTACTTCCATTACCTCTCAGCTACAAATACTTGACCCAGTAGATTTTAAGAGTTTTAAGAGAGTGACTTATTGGATATGGAGTTGCTAAAAGCAAGAGGTTCAAATCCTCCCTTTTCTCTTGAGAGAAAGATGGGCAAACCCCCCCCCATGTGATTTACAATCATTGAAAAATCTACTAGAGAGTCAACAATGAATTGGTTCCAACTCGAAAGAAATGCATAAGAGACAGAAATGGTAAAGGAGTAATGACAGCAGGGGTGTAGGGCTGGCACTGCCTTTCCGTGGATGCCACACTGCATAAGCCATCCTGCCCAGTGCCCTCTCCACTCTCGCTGCAAAATGAGGGGTTCTTGCTCATGTCAACAGGTCTCTATTTTGTATCCCGAAGCTCTCCTGAGTTGGCACATCACCGCATTAAAACCTTTATTTCTTCTTTTATGACCTCCAAGAGAATATAAGTAAAAAACAAAGCAAAACACACTTCTTAAAATTCCCTTAAGAAAGTCCACACATCCAAAGATATTTTTCCCCCAAAAGTGAAGATCTCTTTCTTTCTCTAATCTTCAAAATAATGCATGTTTGAGTAATAAGTAAACTTGACATGGGGAGGAATATATATATATATATATATAGTTGTTGTTGTTTTGTTGTTGTATACTGGCAAGTTGAGGCTGACCCTCCGGCAGGTTTTCAGATGCAGTTAATCATATAGGAAGAGAGTCCCAGCTTTCTCTTCAGGAACAGTTGGTGGATTTAAACTACATACCTTTGAGACTGCAGTACAATTTCTTACCACTAGACCATCATAGCTCCCTAAGACATTATCTATCTATCTATCAGATATATAGATATAGGTATAGGTAGAGATAGAGATAGATAGATAGATAGATAGATAGATAGATAGATAGATAGATAGATGATAGATAGATAGATAGATAGATAGATAGATAGATAGATAGATATTAGGAAGAAGTCAGGCAATACGAGAACATTTGTATGAAGAAGAAAGGAAAAGTCAACTGTAATCTCACCACAGAAAGATAAACAAGTAACAGCTTAACTTGTTGCCTTTCCAGATATTTTTAGACATACATGTATCTATATGGATAAACAGACTTTTTTAAAGAAAAGGGATTAATACTGTGGGTTTTGCTTTGTAACCTTTGGAGAATTTATTTTTCACTATATTGTGCCTTTTGTTCTAAGTAAATGTTTATGACTTTTATGAGCTGTTTTATTGAGCCCTATGCCTGATGTCATTGAAGTAAATCAAGATTAAACATTCATAGATAGCAATAGTAGATCCCAATTACCATAATTTGCTTTTGGATCAATGGAATGAAAAAGATATCTCCATTTACTTTTTTTTTTCTCCCCCAGGAAGATTCTGGCACATTTTATACCATCAAGTATGAGATCAAGGAGGGTGATTGTCCTGTTCATAGTGGCAAAACCTGGCAGGACTGTGACTTCAGTGAAGCTGCAGATGCTGTAAGTTTGGTGAGGGGTGGTTCCCACACTCCACTCCTTTGAGCCTGGCAGGTGTTGCATGTGTGTCTCTAAGACTGCTCGTCAGATGCAAGAGCCCTGGTGACAGACTGGTTAAGCATCGGACTGGTAACTGAAAGGGCAGCAGTTCAAATCCACCGAACACTGTGCTGGAGAGAGATGGAACAGTCTACTTCTGTAAAGACTTACAGTCCTAGAAATTGCAGAACCAAAGAACCCGCTTGCCCTCTAGACAAGTTTTGACTAGAGTCAGAATTGACTTAACAGCAGTGGTTCTACTTGGATTTGCAGAGATTCACAGAAACACTCAGATTTTGGGGAAAGTCAAATGCTCATTATTTATACTCTTGCAGAAGCAGAAAGAGATGGGAGGCCACCAGTTAAACATGGAGCAAAAAAACTTCCCTTGAGAAAACCAGAAATGAAGCCAATTAGTGTCGAGTCAGTTCTGGGTAGAAATGATCCATAGGGTCTTCTAGTCTACGGTCTTTCAGAAGATCACCAGGTCTGTATTCAAAGGTGACTCCACCTTCGATTAGCAGTTCAGTGTTTAACCATTCTCAAGAATTCCATTTCCAGGAGAGGAATTTAGTAGCTAAGTGGAATATGTGAGCTAGGTGTCAGAGAGACAAGAGATGGAAAATTGGAGAAGAGAGACCATTGCCACGTCACTTGCACAGGCCTGAGTTCAAAGCCTGACTGCTTCCAACTAACCTAAGGAATGTGAACAAAATATTTAGCTTCTCTTCCCTAAAATATAGAGACAATACTGACTTTGTCCATGCTTAGGAAGATTAAATGAAATAAATCATGCAAAGGACTATGTTTTCCTGGCAAAATCTGTTGTTGTTATGTGTCATCAAGTTACTTACAAATCATAGAGATCCTATGCACAACAGCTCTGAACCCTTCTTTACCTTGAGCCAACCTCATTGTCTTTGACACATCCACCCCCATTACCCCAGTCACTGAGTCTATCCATCTCATCCTGGGTATTCCTCTCTTGCACTGTCCCTCTACCCTTCCAATTACAATTTCCATCTCCAAGTACTGGTCCCTTCTTGTGAAATGCCCAAAGTATCTGAGATGAAGCTTTAAAATCCTTGCCTGCAAGGAGAGACCTGGTTTTACCCTCTTCAGGACAAAAGTCTGTTCTCCTAACAGTCCGTGGTATACTCAATACTCTTCTCCAGCACCACAGCTCAAAGGCATCAATCTTTCTTCTATCATCTCTAGTCATTGTCCAGCTCTCTGATGAATAGCAAGTAAATGTAAAGACTATGACCTTGTTCAAGCGCACCTTAGTCTCTAGGCTGACATCATTGCTCTACAGCACTCTGGAGAGGTTTCTGACAGCAGATTTCCCAATGCAATTCATCTTTTAATTTCCTGGCTGCTAGTACCAAGAGTATTGATTGTCAAGCAACCTAAAGCTGTTAACAGTCTTAATCTCTTTACCACCAAACCAATGCGTTTTAAGCTCTGGTGGTGTAGTCTGTAGGATGTTATTTTGCTAACCCAAGCCTGCACCTCTCTGGCAATTTTAATCCACCAGTAACTCCTCAGGAGAAAGATAGGCAATCTCTTCCTATGCAATTTATAACCTCTGAAGTCCAGTGGAGGGTCAGCTGAGTCAATGAACACTCAATGATAATGATTTGATTTGATTTGATTTGATTTGATTTTTCCTTGATTAAGGGAGATTTTAGATGGTATCAGTTTGAGAACCAAGTTAGTCTTCTCTTTTCACATTTCATGCATTCATTTGGTTTGAACTCAACAGACCCATGAGGTTATAAAACAGTCCTGTGTTCTGAAGTCTGAGACCAGGCTAAAGTTGAGGTTCTGACTCTTTTTCGGTGAGCTCATCTGGAAAGTGGAGGAAGGCATTCACTGTGTCCACACTGTCTTCCTCTCAGGACTGCGGGGATAGAAAGAAATACAGTCTCTTCTCTTGAAAAGCGTCTTCCATGTGTGAGCAGTCCCATGAGTGGTTCCTATGGAATGAGAAGACAAAACAGCAACCACAACAAGAATACAGCTCAATAATGGCAATTAAAGAGCTAGGGGTCCTAGGAGTCCCCGGATGGCAGAAACTGTTTCTGTACTTAACTGCTAGCCAAAAGGACAGAGGTACTTTGGAAAAAATAAATTCCTAGGGATCTATTTCTGAGAAGTCAGACATTGACAGTCCTACAGAGCACCATTTACTCTGACACATGTATAGGAAGGCCATGAGTTAGAACTGATTTGACAATAACTGACAGAGGCTACATGGCGAGCCCGTTGCTCTGTGTGGAGTTGTGTGCTTCACCATCCTGACAATCCTGTAAGATAGAGGTGAAATTTCATCTATGTAGATGATAAACTGAGATTCACAGGGGCAGAGGGGCCTGCAGGAGGGCAACAGAGAACAAGTGGTGGAGGTGAGACTAGACAATGCTTTACTTGGCTCCAAGGTCTCTGCTCTTTCTAATAAATTAAAGTGGCATTGTCTGGTGGATTGATGCTCCTTAGAGGCAAGGATGGTGAAACTTCATCTCACATACCTTGGGCATGTTATCAGGAGAGACCGTGGAAGAAGTCATCATGCTAGAAAAGGTGAGGAATATTTTCAACAAGATGGATTGACATAGTGACTTTAACAATGGGCTCAAGCGTGTTGGAGGTTATGAGGAGGGCACAGGATAGGACAGCGCTCAGATCTGTTGTTCATAGGGTCACTATGAGACAGAGTTACACAGATGGCACCTGACAACAAGAATATTATTACTTCACTGACATGAAAAGGTAAAGCAGGACAGTGTAGCAGACTGGTTCTGAGACATTTCATACATCTTAGTAAAAAAGACATTTCTCCAAAACTCAAAACAATGCCTTACACTTAAAAATGTTACCATTTAAGGGAGCTCTGGTGGCCTAGTGGCAAGAAGCTACACTGAAATCCCAGAGGTATACGGTTCAAATCCACCAGATGCTCTGCTGGAGAAGGAGGGACAATCTCCTCCTGTAACAGTCAGATCCGATTTGATGGTACACACAAAAAATAATAAAATAAAAATTTTTTAAAAATTACTATTTATATGGATTCCTATATGGTATCTTCAATTATTTCCTCTGCATCCGAATGTTGGACCGAGAATAGGATAACAGAAGAAGAAGCAATGCTTTTGCATCTTTGGTGAAGAGTACTGAATATCCCATGGACTGAGAAAAGAACAAACAAATCTATCTTGAAGGAGGTGTAGTCTAAGTTCTCCTTAGAGGCCAGGCTGGTAACACTTCATCTCACTTACTTTGGGCATATTCTCAGGAGGAGAAATCAGTCTTTGGAGAGACATCATGATCCAGGGAAAGGGAAAAGGTCAACAAAAGAGAGGAAGACTCTCAGTGAGAGTTAATGACAATGCCCATTTATACAGTTCATTAATACCTAAGACTATCAAAAACACAATCTTTAGGCTACATTCATTCTTGGGTCTCAAAACTCTGTTATAAGGGGAAAAAGACTCTTTTATAAATGTATTAGAAAACACACTTAACTTTTTTTTTTAAAAAAAAAGGAAATTCATATTTGGTGAGAATCTGTGTGGGCTTTTCCCACCATGAAGGTGAAGCTAAATGCCCTCTCTCTTTCTCTCCCTCTTTTCTACCTTTTTCTCTCCCTCTTTTCTACCTTTTTTAGGCCACAGGAGAATGCACAGCAACAGTGAAGAAGGGGACTAAAAAAATGATCCTTGCCACTCAGACTTGCCATATAACTCCAGGTAGCCTATATCTGAGGTGATGACTCTGTGGTTGGGGAAAATTCACCGTTTCTGTGGAATTTGATTGATTTAATTCTCATTGTCGCCAAGTTGGAACCAACTCATATAGCTGACACTCCAGTGAGTTTTCAGAGGCTATGAGTTGTAAGAGAGGAGACTGCCCAGCCTTCTCCAGGGAAGCAGATGGTGGGTTGGCAGTGTAACTCCTTACCCACAAAGCCACCATAGTGCTTAATATATCTAGACTATTAACCAAAGATCAGTCATTTAATCCACCAGCCACTCGGAGGGAGAAAGGCAGACAGTCTCCTTCAAGAAGGATTTACAGTTTTAGAGGCCTGAGAGAGCATGACTATGAGTGGTGGCTTTTTACTTGTTTGGTTTAATGTTCCAGGAATAGCCTAGGTCCACTGACCATTAGTAGCAATGGCAGTTGCCTCATCTGAGCAAGGGGCCAGGGACAGATGTTGGAGCAGCAGAATCTTGAGGGTTCCTGTTGGCTATCTGATGTTGCTGTTGCTGTTGTGTACCATTGAGTTGGAGCCAACCCCTCACTGACTCTCTGGTGAGTTTTCAGAGGCAGTAAATAGCACAGAAGGAGGTAACCCACCATCAACACTGCTTTCTAGTTGTCTGCTTCCACTGCCACATTGTGTTAAGTGTGTGCCAGGGCTTTGTCAAAGACAAGAAGACGTTAGAGTTGCCTTCAGTTGTGGGCAGTACCCTGTAGTAGGAAAAGTACTGGCTCAGAGATCAGATCTGGTCTGGAATCTTTAAAATGCCTTTAACTTGTTGTTGTTGTTGTTGTTGTTGTTGTCTATAGAAGGAGAGTGACAGCAATGCCCACTTTATAGAATTGTTTGTGAGACTGAAACAGGGTGATATCCCAGAAGGTGTAATACCTAAATCCATTGCCACCAAGATAATTCATGGCAACCCTGTAAAAGAGTTGCAACACCTGTTGTTGTTGTTGTTAGGTGCTGTCAAGTCACCTGTAAGCCATAACAACCCTATATACAGCAGCTCTGGACCCTGCACTGTCCTGAGCCAGTCTCATTGACTCCAACACACAATGGATTCCCAATTGCCCTGATTACTCTAGTAATCCTTCTCATCCTCTCCTGTGCTGTTCCTCTACTTTTCCAAGCATGATATCCTTCTCCAAGGACTGGTCCCTCCTGAATAAATACCCAAAACATGTGAGATGGATGGAGCTTCAAATTCCTTGCCTCCAGAGAGCAACCTGGTTTTATCCTCTCCAGAATAGATTTGTTTGTTCTCTTGGCAGTCCATAGTATGTCCAACACTCTTATCCAGCACAGTTCAAAGGCATTGATTCTTCTTCTGTAATCCTTATTCATTGACCAGCTTTCTGATGCATAACAAATAATTGTGAAGACTATGGCCTGGATCAGGTGCACCATAGTCTCTAGACTGACATCTTTGTGCTTCAGCACTCTAGAGAAGTCTCTGACAGCAGACTTTCCCAATCCAATTTGTCTTTTTATTTCTTGACTGCGGGTTCCAAGAGTTAATTGTGGACCCGAGCAAGCTGACATAATTGAAAATCTCAATCTCTTCTCCATCCATCATAGTGCTTCTGATTGGCCCAGTGATGAGAATTTTTGTTTTTTTGATGTTAAGCTTCAATCCATATTAAAGAAGGCAGTCCTTGACTTTCTGCAGTAGATGGTTTCAGTGAGCAAGGTTATGTCAAGTACATAACACAAGTTGTTAATGAGTCTTTTTCCAATTCTGATTTCACATTCTTCTTCATAAAGCCTACCCTCCCAGATGATCTGTTCTTCGTATATATTGAAGAGGTATGAAGACAAGACACATCCTGATGCACTACTTTCCTGATTTTGAAACATGTAGTGTTTCCCTGCTCTGTTCTAATGACTGCCCACTGGTCCAAGAATAGGCTTTGCATGGGCACAATCACGTGTTCTGGGATTCCCATTCTCCTCAAGGTTAGCCACCATTTGTTGGGAACCACACAGTCAAATGCCTTTTGAATACAGAACATCAACTGTAGTGGAAGATTATCTTTCTCTTTGTCAATCTGAGGAAGTCTTTATTCCTTGGTTCCTTGGTGATCTTTATGCGGCATTGATGTCTGTCTTCCCCTATCTGAGCTTTTTAGCTTCTTGTCTCAGCTGCTTTTTATAGCTCAGAAGAGATTCATTGAAGAGAGCTCTGGTGGTCTAGTGACAAAGAGTTGCACTGCCAGCCCAAAAGCAGAAGGCTTGAATCCACCAGTCACTCTGCAGGAAAAAGATGGGCAATCTCTTCTATGTGCTTTGCAGCCTCTGAAAACCTAGTAGAGAGTCAGCTGTGAGCCACTTTTGACTTGAACATATTGACATCAAGGGATAAAGATACACAATCTCTTCCCATCAAGATTTATAGTCTCTGAAACCAAAAGATGTCCACTATATTAATATAACAAAGAACTAAACATGTCAAAAATTCATTGTCATGAAATTATAACCACAGGTATAATAAAATTTAACACACATGTTAAATATGTGGGTAGAGGATTATACCAACCCCAAAGTAAGTCTTTTTAATCCACCAGCTGCTTTGAAGCAGAAAGATGGGATAGCCTCCTTCCATACAATTTACTGCTTCTGCAAAACTACCAGAGGGTCAACTATAAGTCTGTTCCAGATTGACAGCAATAAACAATAGTAATTCAATCCACAGCAGGCATTTTGCTGAGGTATAATTCATAATCTTAAGTAGATTTGCCAAAGACTTCATGACACTTTGAATATAGGTAGTAATCGCTTGCCTCTCTAGTGAGATTCAGGCTCAAATGTTGAGAATTCTCTCGACCTTACATTACCCTTCCTTGTAACACATTCCATGCATTGATGTGCATACACATGTCCCACATCTCTGTACCTCAATTCCTCCTATTTTCTGGGGATCCCTCTCTCTACTCCTTCTCCCCATACTTCCCCACTTCATTGTGCCTACTAGCTCTTAACTCAATCATCTCTCAAAAAGTCTTCTCTGATCTCACTCTCTACCCCGCCTTTGCATTTTCCCTCCTCTGACTGAAAACCCTGTGGTAGAGTGATGGTGCAAACAGTGAAGAGCTCCGCTACTAACCAATAGTTCAGCAGTTCCAAAGCACCCAGGGGAACCTCAGAAGAAAGGCTGGAGGCCTGTGTCTAAAGATCAGAGCCTGGAGAATCATGCGAAGGCAGTCCCACTGGGCACACAGGGGGCTGCCAGGAGATCAAATCCACTAAGGCAACTTGTTGTGGCTTGGTTTTTGTTTTTTAAACTCTGACTGAAAAATAATCTTACGTTCTCTTTTCTCTCCAACTGTATAAATTGATTTATTGAAGAGTATGCTTACCAGGGAGCTCTGGTGGCCTAACGTTTAGGGGCTGTGCAGCAGTTCCACAGGCACGTTGTTCAAATCCACCAGCCGCTCTGAGGGAGAAGGATGGACAATCGACTCCAGTGCAATCTACTGGTTTAAAACTGGAGGGTCAGCTATGGGTTAGTTTTAACTCAACAGCACACAACAACAATATATACTCATCAGGAGCTTCTAAATGATCTTCTTTGTTAAGGGCAACATATCTGAACACTAGAAAATAAAGATGAGCTTTAGTCTCTAATTTGGCCTTTCTGTCATGTCTTTGTTAAGCTGAAGGCGCTGTGGTGACAACCCAGTACAACTGCTTTGGCTGCGTGCATCCGATATCAACCGAAAGCCCTGACCTGGAGCCCGTTTTGAGATACGCCATTCAACACTTCAACAACAACACTGAGCACTCCCACCTCTTTGTTCTTCACAAAATAAAGTCAGCCAAAAGACAGGTTGGTTCCTTAATTCTTCATTTACAGGGATATAAAAAAAATAAATATTAATTTATTATCTTTTGGACCTCATTAACTGTAATAAACCTTTTGCCACAGGAAAAGCTATCATTGCTATACTGGTAATGAAGTGTGTGTTGGGGGGTAGGGGGGTTGAGATGTAATCCATACTGAAGGGCTCAAGTCTTTGATCTTCTGCAATAAGTGTTTCAAGTCCAAGGTTGTATCATCTGCATAACACAGGTTGTTGATGAGTATTTCTCTAATCCTGATGCCACATTCTTCTTCAGAGAGTCCAGATTCTTGAATGATTTGCTCACTATACAGATTTAATAGATATGGAGAAAGGATACACCTTTGAAACACACCTTTCCTGATTTTACCCCACACAATATTCCCTTACACTGCTCAAACAACAAGCTTCTTGGTTTAAATATAGGTTTTGTATGAGCCTAATTAATGTTCTTGGATTCCCATTCTTCACAATGGATTACATCTGTGGAAAGAGAGGATGGAGTTCAGTATCATTAGTCAGAACAAGGTCAGGAACTAACTCTAGGACAAACTGTAAATTATTCACATGCAAATCCACAGTAAGACTGAAAAAATTGAAAACGAAAACATATCCACAAAAGTCATACTCAACATTGAGTATGTCCCATTTTTATTAATTTAGGGACCATTTCAAGTATATATTTGATACTTTGAACATTAATTGTCTGGGTGTGCCAACCCAAAGACACATGGTTTGAATCCACCAGCTGCTTCACGGGAGAAAGATGAACATTCTTCTACCAGGTGATTTACTGTCTCTGAAACCCTCTGAAGGGTCAGCTATAAGTTGGTTCTGACTCAAGGGGGGAAAAAAATAGTCCAAGCTACACTGCCAGCAATGTGAAAAAAAAACAAAACCAAAAACCCACACAGCTCCAGAAATTGAGAGAACACTAATTAAAAGGTTTGGTTTTTTTTTTTTGTTTGGGGTTCCCCCCCCCAATTGAAAGGTTTTTACAAACTAATTAAACTCTGGGATGGTTCACTTGCACTTGTCTATGCCAAGAAATTTGGGGAAAAGCTACCTAGATACCTAAGGAAAATTTTAAAACTACTGCTTTCAAGTGAGAATTGGGCTCCACCACGCTCCCTCCCTGCCCCCCTACAATACCTCCCCAACCCTCCCAGTTCCTCTCTCTCAGGCTCTCTCCTTCACCATCACTGTAGTGGGCTACACCACAGTTGCTGTGTGCCTAGGGATAACAGGAATGCTAAAGAAATTGTAGATTCCCCCCCCCCCGCCTCCTTTTAACCCTGTGCATGCGTACTATAGAAGCCTATTCAGTGTTTTTTGGACAGTAACCAGTTTGTCAGAACAGTTTTCTAAATTAGAACTCCAACAGATTATCAGACATCATGAAGAAGTTAAAGGAGTTATGCTGTCAAAAGAAAAGAAAACATTATCACAGTCCATATAGATTCCTTGTCCCCCAAAAGGGACAGCGAATAAAACTAGTACAAATGGTATGTGAAATGAAAAATTAAACTGGAGAGGAAAAAATGGGGGGGATGAGAATTGACTTATAGCTGGCTTTCCAACCGCTTTCTGAATGGTTTCTAAACTTACTCTGTACACTTGTGGTTGCCATGAGAATATTATCAGACAAACAACTATAAATTTAGTCTTTTAAGGACTGAGTTTATTTTTTATCATGATATTGAGGTTTTTAATTTATTTTTTATTTTATATTGGTTTGCATACAAAATTTGTATACATTATGTTTCATATGATCATTCTCATACATTGTGTTTTATACAATTAATTACCAGTAATCTATGCCCATTATTATCCCATTTTATTCAGGTCCCCACTGGATCTTTCCTAATTCCTTTACCCCCTCCACCCAGCCACCAAACTCTGTGACCTGGTGATCT